GCCCATCGCCGTCCTTCCTTTTGTTGCTGAACAATTAAATGATGTTTAAAATAAGATCAACAACACGCCCATAAAAAGGTCAATGACAATTGTTTCCAATTGCAGGCAAGAAATAATGCTCGAGTTCTTATATCGGGATCCTTAAGCATGTTTAGCAATCGGTAAGTAACTTTTGAGGCTTTAGCTGGAGTAATATCTAATCTGAATTGCTCAAATTGAGAAGCCTTTTTCTCATGTCCAGATTCTTCAGATCTGGGGTGCAAAAGGCTGGAAGCACAATCAAGTAAGCACTCGTAGTTACTCTGTTGCTTCTGTTTGTCTGACATGATAGTACCTTGAGTCTGATGTGTGTGGAAGCCTCAGCATAAATTGACTTAGAAAATGAAAAAGAAAACAAAAATTAAAAGCCTCGGTATTGGTTGGACTTCTCTAAGACTGAAGCTTGCTAAGAACATCATTGATATGTCAGTAATGTATCCATTACCTGGGAAAAGGTTTCTCAACTATTGGCATCCTGATATGGACCTGTATTTCCTGTTTTGAGTTTTGACTACCAGAAAGAAGTCCACTAACCAAAAATATTTGTTGGATGTTGGGAGTTCTTTCGTTGCTGTAATTACTAGAATGTATTGTAAGGTTTTCTACTTGGTATACTCTTCAATGTATTGTAAGGTTTTCAATTATGCGGATCCACACAATTTTAGTTTGAACAGTATGTGTAATTTGATGTGATTTGATTTCTTTTCTCAATTTCTTTGTTTTCACTTAATGCTGCTAGAGAAGCAATATCTTGAAGCTAATTGTGCCTCTTCCTGTCCTCTTCCACGTAAAGTACAACTCAATTTTGTATTGTTTATGCTTTCTGACTTGATTGACCATAAATTTATCCCATGATCACAGCCATGAGAAATCTGGTAATGAGCAGTTTGTGACTGAAATTAGCAAGTGGATCTTCCATGAAAGAGGCCATCTCAAGGTGCAGTATCAGATATAAGTTCTTAATTCATATCCACTTGCTTCTTTATTTTAATATTTTACTTTGGGCATTCTTGTAGTCATAAAAGAAATGCACTTCAATTGGTTGCATTTCACTATCCATATTTGCTGTTCTCAATATGTGAATTGGGAATTTATGTCTATACACTTTCATATATAGGCTGTGAATGTAAGACATCACAAAGTTGGGGAGGCAGATGAACCTTCTATATACAGAATCAATGATGATCTGGTACTACTACACTGCAAGTTTGAATAATCTATCAATCTTATATTATGTTTACTTAATGGTTTTGGATGTGTACTGAAACTGAGATTTTGATCCAAGGAATATTCTCTTGAGATTTATGAATGGTCTGGAACAAGTTGGGAACCTTATGTTGCAGATGATGTTCAAGTTCAGTTTTACATGATGAGCCCGTACGTTCTGAAAACCATGTCAACCGATCAGAAGGTACTCTTTAAGTGCTCCAGAATTAACTTATGGTAGGAATTGTTTTAGCACTTGGATTAATATTTCTAATTTCATTTTCTGTAGGGTGTCTATTATACATCATTCAAGGTTCCAGATGTTTATGGAGTATTCCAGTTTAAGGTTGAGTACGAGAAATTAGGAGTCACAAGCTTGAGCCTTGCAAAACAGGTATGTTCTTTCGAAATCTACAGGCACCATCTCTTATGGAGGCATCTATTACTTTAAAAAATTTGTTATCATACTTTAAGCTGGTTAATTGTTAGAAGAGGTAGGTGCAGTGGTTATTTCCATGTTTTACAGATTTTGTAGTGAAGAGCTAATATATATGCTGTATCAGTCACTTTCTGGACACAAATTTATCTAGGACTTTTGCTTTCCCACTTATTTGGTGAGAGAATTACAACATGATAACCCTTCGGGGTACCCCAGTGGTTTGGGCTTGGGACTTCCATGTTTGAGGTCTCAAGTTCGAAACCCCTTGCCAGCGAAAGCAAGGGGTTTGCCTTCTGGGTCGAGCTCGTCGCACCGGGCTTGCGAGCTAGTGCATAGGAGCGGGGGTTTTACCCTGTGCGTACCCAAAGGGTAGCGGCTGCGGGTTTCCCTTGTCATAAAAAAAATAAAAATTACAACATGATAATTAACTTCTAATACTCTTTAGAATACACGCTAGTCTGTTGTCATTACTCAAATGTATATGTAGAAGCAGCACACCTTATTATGAAAACATTCTTTTTTCAGTTATCACGAAATTTGTTGTATATCTGCACTTTGTCTTGTTTCATCATTTGTTTTGTTGCTCTAGTTCCCAGACATTGTTGGATGAAAGCAGTGAATATAGTCGTTGTTCCTCAGTGACCTGCTGTTCATAAAAGATACTCGTTTAAGAGATATATTTATGAAAGCCATTGACGCCTGTGCTCTCCTTATTGCTTTAGTTTGTTTTTTTTAAATAATGGTGACAGTCTAATATTGCTTTAGCTTTGAAGTGCAAGAAAACGACTTTTGCATATAATTGGTCTTAACTATGTCATCTTCCGAAATTCAATAATGAATAATATAATAAAGGAGGTGGTTGACGACACCTTATATAGTTATTTGCATTAATATGGGGAATCTTTTTACTTGCAGATTCCTGTTCGACCCTTCAGACATAATGAATATGAGAGATTTATAACAGCTGCTTTTCCTTATTATGGAGCATCCTTCTCTATGGTACTTCTCTCCCCCACTCTTTCTTTCTCTCTCTCTCTATCTATCTCTTTGTTACACATTACAATTGATTTACCATCAGCATATTTTTAATGTACTATATGTAGTTCCAACCCCTTCTTTCTGTGTAGACAATTCCTCCCCAAGTTGTCGAGACTTAGAGTATAAGGAGTCTTGTTATCTGATTTAATGAGGGTATTTATCAAACTTTTAACACCTAAAAAGTACAGATATGGTAGTAAATGCTGCTTAGTTATATCAGGAAACTGAGGATACAGAAAATTTGTTGCAGTTGGTGTCCTATTGTGAAAGTATCTCTTGAGGAGTCTTAGATTACAAAATTAATTTTACAAGATTTTATTTGGAAACCTAGAAAAATCTAAAGATTCTTAAATATGTACTGTCTGTTAAGTATTTGTTGGATCCTCCTCTTAAAATGTTTAGAGTTAAGAGGGGGGAGTCAAATGAAACATACACGCAATATGATGACAACGTTTTGTCTTCTTATTTTATGATCTGATCTGTTGGATTATTTCGTACCTCTTTTCTGTCACGGGATATTAAAAAGCAAGTGCTATTTAAGATATTGTTTGGTTGTTGTTCATCTACAAGAATATTTTGTATGATTCTGTTTTGTTTGTATGATAGATGGGTGGTTTCTTCCTCTTCTCCTTGGTATATCTGTACCACAAGTAGTAGCTGCAAAGACTGCTGGAATTATGAAGAATCAAGTGCAGATTTTGTATTTGATGCTCTAACTTTTAAAGTTATAAAATAGAGGATGTAGTGTTTCTTGGAACGGAAAAAGGTAGATTTATTTTGTTTAGCAACAATGGATTATTGGGAACTTGTATTTGAAATTACATCCACTGATAATTTTATGCATACAATTCCCAAGGAATTTTTGGTCTTGGCAAGCTGCTCCCGTTTCTTTCATTTTATTACTTGTGATATTTTTGGGTTAATTGTGCAAAGGTTATCAAATAATTTAGCTTAATTGAAAATTACTAGTTTAATTTTAAAATTTTCGTTATACCCATCAATAAGATGATCAACCTCAAGGAATTTTCACAACACCTTAACCATTAGACTAGATTTTTAACTTGTGTCAAGAGATGTCAATACTTGTATATATATTTATTAAATCAAAATTTGATCTTTATATACAATGTTATATTTGTATGCGGGTCTGCCCCTGCATACAAATATTTATAACTTATTTAGACTATATATTAAAAGAAAAAAATTTTTAAATGTTTTTTCTAGTTAAACACGGTCATAAATTAGGACAAAAAGAATAAATCAGAAGAGTAGACGGGGTAAGATGCCACTATATGCAAGGCAGACCTACATTGGTTCAAGAGAGTTCAATTGAACCCACTTCGTCATTTTTTATTTTTTGCTATTTATATGTACAAATTCATTGTAAAGTTGTATATCTAAAATGAATCCACTAAATACAATCAAGAAGCGTGGCTCAGTGGTTACTGGGTTCATTTACCTGTTCTCATACCAAGATCAAATCTCAGTGTAAGCGATCTTAAATTGTTTGTTCAGTTTTCCTTTTAGTTTGTTATTTGATTGTTAATAATAATTTAGGTTACATATTTATAGCTTTTAAATAGTACTACCTTATATTATACTTAGTTTAAATTCTTTTGTAATCTACAAAGTTATGTATTTTTTTTCTTATTTCTTGGTATACATAAAGGTTAGGTTAGTATATTTTTATTAATTTATTATTTACTAAATTATTTTTTCATTTTATTTATATTTTTTCAAAATTAGTACATTTTTATCGTTAGGTGAATTATTAGTTCGTCCCCAAACTATTGTCAATTTTAATAACTCTCATTTACTTGACTAACTGAACTTAAATACACGTTCACTTTGCCACATGATCATACATATCACATGATCAAACGGACCCTTAGTTAGATAAGAAGGAGCAATTGTACTTCAACAGCTTATAATTTGCTTTGCTTTTTAAGTCTTCATTCTCGTAAGCTTTTGATGATCTCATACTTATTTTAAGGGTTAATAGCATTTTTAGTCCATCAAAAATTAATAAATTCTAAATTGTGAATTTTAGTTATGCATATTTAAATTTTGATTAAAAATATTAAAACTAATAAATTCTATATACTTTGATATAAATTTGTCAAAAGTATTAAAAACTTGAAAATATATTAACATAGAGAAATTATTCAAAAAAAAGACGAGCCCAGTCCATTAAATTTCTTACCTCTGAAAAATTGGAGTTGGGCCGGCCTGTTTTGACAAGAAGTAGTGTGTATAGAAGAAGGAAGGGGCTTAATCGGAATAACACAAAACAAGGGAAGTTGGATGGTGTTCTGCCACTTTTCCTGACGGCAATAATTTCAAGATCCAGAAAATTGCTTATTGAAATTTCTTTTCTTCAGTCAGATCTATGACACATTTGTTTCTTCAGTATAATACTGTCAAAATCATTTGAATCGTCGAATTCACTTTGAGGTTGGCAGTAAATTAGAACTTGCCAGCGAAGCTTCTAGTAGAAAGTTCCAAAAACAGTTGAGGACTTCTGGTCAACTCTGCTTGTGATAATCTAAAATAGCTAAAGCTCCCTATTAAATTCTCAGTTCAAGAATTGCTCACAACCTATTTGGAAAAAGTCCAACTTGGAGAAAAAGTTGAAAACTTTGAGATAAAGGGTTGTGATAATTTTGGATTTCTTGATTAAATTCAGCTCAATGGGTAAAGGAGGGGGTTGTATGCCAACCAAGAACAAGTTTCCTATAAATGAACCAGCAGAGAGACCAGTGAGTCAAACTGATATAACAGGGTCAGAAGCAGAAGGGTCCAAGAAGTTGAGAATATTCATTGTGTTTTATTCAATGTATGGACATGTTGAAACATTAGCTAGAAGGCTGAAAAAAGGGGTTGATGGTATTGAAGGTGTTGAAGGGGTTTTGTATATGGTTCCTGAAATTTTGGCACCAGATGTTTTGGAACGAATGAAAGCCCCCCCAAAAAATGATGAGATTCCAGTGATATCTGTGGATGAGCTGGTGGAAGCTGATGGATTCTTGTTTGGATTTCCTACAAGATATGGATGTATGGCAGCTCAGATGAAGGCATTTTTTGACTCGACGGGGAAGTTGTGGAGAGAACAAAAGCTTGCTGGATTGCCTGCAGGGTTCTTTGTCAGTACTGGTACACAAGGAGGTGGGCAGGAGACCACCGCGTAAGTCTGTCTTCTGTTATTCATTTACTTGTGTTTATACTGTTAATCGTTTCTTTTATGTCATCGATGATGTCTGATCACTGTGTGTGAGATAATTGCAACATCTTAATGCATTTGGACAATGACTAAGGTGTAGTGACATATTTGTAAACCAAAAAAGAGTAGAAATATGACAAAGTTCTACGTAAGCAAATTGATAGATACCCTTCAGATAATTGCTTCACCTAGTTGTAGTTGCCAATGAAGAGACAGAAGAAACGGAGAACACTAGCAGAATCTAAGTCCAGAACATAATTGATGAGAGTGCATACTAGTAACTAGTCTGAAAAATCCTTTCGTCAGCCTTACAAAAATTGTATGTAGTCTCCATAGCATCCAAAGGATTGCCTTCAACTAGTGATCAGTTTAACTGGTACTGATTATGTTAAAGGAATCCCGTCATCTCAATGATATGCAAAAAATCATTGAGGACGAAGGCTCTAGAGACCCAAAAGTGCTGTTTCTGATTGATCTCCAACAATTAAGTACTTTAAGAAATTTGATTTTCCAACAGGCCTAAGGGACTTGAAGTATCTTGCAGTCAGATTTTATTGTAATAGGTATATAAGGCATCAAGAACACTTTACAATTGTCAGTATAAAATTTCAGTTAGCAAACTGGTTGACTGCTATGATAACTATCCATTATAGTGATAGAGATCTGTAGCTGTAGCCACTACTCCATAGGTGCATCATCTACTGTCATTCCAACCATATTTGCTCAGAAGTCATTTTAGAGGTATACTAATTCAAAAAAATTGTTATTATTGTAGTAACTTCCTCGGGCTAATAGGTCTCTTTTGTTATTGATCTTACTGGTTTTGCAACCTTGGGAAGTCATCATGCATTCATGCTAATGGATGAACTTCAAATCTTGGATGAATTGGATTGTGATTAGTTATTTTATGAAAATAGCTTGCTTGTATGTGTTGTCGCAGAATCCTTAAACAGGACATTTTATCCACAGACTAACATAGTCTATGAAGGACTATAGTTGTACTCTTATGCTATCTCTATATCCTTTATCTTCTGTTCTATTTTCTTCTTTCTGATGATCCACTTATATCCTTCTTCCAATAATAATCATGCAACCAATTATTGAAGGACAAAGCTTGGTCGACGACAATCTGCTAATGAAATCCAGTGGACCATATTGAAATGTTTCATTTTTCATATCGCAGCTGGACAGCAGTCACTCAATTAGCTCACCATGGGATGCTCTATGTTCCAATAGGATACACGTTTGGAGCAGGAATGTTTAGAATGGATTCAATAATTGGAGGTTCTCCATATGGAGCAGGAACTTTCTCTGGAGATGGTAGCAGGGAACCTAGTGAACCAGAGTTGGCGCTGGCCGAGCACCAGGGCAAGTACATGGCAATGACAGTTAAAAGATTGGCTCAGCACCATTCCTTACGACCTGGTAATCCCAGCTCTCGGCGGTTTTAGAAATTGAAAAATGTCCAAATTTTCCCTCTACTATATGAAATGTCTTAATTTTAAGTTATACGTTGGGGTCATTCATACCTTTGTCGTTAAGCGAGTCGTCTTTGTATCTGTCTTTGCCTTCAACAGAGCTCCAAAGTGAACAGGATGATAAGGTTTCAATTTACCCCTCTACTTTTCACTTTACTTTAAAATTACCTTCTGTTATACTTCAGGTTGAAGTTCCGTTAGGGGTGAGAACGGCAAGGGTGTGGATCCCCTTCAAAAGTATAACGCATTAGTAAACTTAAGATCTTCCATATAGTAGAATTGTAATTTTATCCGTTTTGCTTTAGAAACATCCTACATGTAATTTTTGTCCATTCCTAAAAACATTTCCTAAACGAATGTATCAAAATCTGTGTGTCCTTAGAAGGTCATGTGTTTTTCATTTATTAATTTGATCTTAGATCCTATCATGGGTTTGGGGAAGGAAAGGATGGAATTTGATGTACTATAAAGTATAAATAAACTATGATTTGTGTTCCATTTTTCAAAAATTTGACAGACAAAGGAATTTAGCTCCAAATCAATATCATGAAAAAAGCATGTTGATTTCGCACAAAATGTTAATTTCAAATGCAAATAATTGAAATTTAAATTTAACAATTGTTTTAAACACAAACATATAGTTTACATGCCAGTCTGTTGTCATTTACTCAAATGTATATGTAGAAGCAGCACACACCTTATCATGAAAACATTTTTTTTCTTTTTTCTTTTTTTAGTCATCACAAAATTTGTTGTATATCTGCACTTTGTCTTGTTTCATCATTTGTTTTGTTGCTCTAGTTCTCAAACATTGTTGGATGAAAGCAGTGAATATAGTCGTTGTTCCTCAGTGACCTGCTGTTCATGAAAGATACTCGTTTAAGAGATATATTTATGAAAGCCATCGACGCCTGTGCTCTCCTTATTGCTTTAGTTTTTTTTTTTTTTTTAATAATGGTGACAATCTAATATTGCTTTAGCTTTGAAGTGCAAGAAAACGACTTTTGCATATAATTGGTCTTAACTATGTCATCTTCCGAAATTCAATAATGAATAATATAATAAAGGAGGTGGTTGACGACACCTTATATAGTTATTTGCATTAATATGGGGAATCTTTTTACTTGCAGATTCCTGCTCGACCCTTCAGACATAATGAATAAGAGATTTATAACAGCTGCTTTTCCTTATTATGGAGCATCCTTCTCTATGGTACCTCTCTCTCTCTCTCTCTTTGTTACACATTACAATTGATTTACCATCAGTATATTTTTAATGTACTATATGTAGTTCCAACCCCTTCTTTCTGTGTAGACAATTCCTCCTCAAGTTGTCGAGACTTGGAGTATAAGAAGTCTTATTATCTGATTTAATGAGCGTATTTATCAAACTTCTAACACCTAAAAGGTACAGATATGGTGGTAAATTCTGCTTAGTTATATCAGGAAACTGAGGATACAGAAAATTTGTTGCAGTTGGTGTCCTATTGTGGAAGTATCTCTTGAGGAGTTTTTAGATTACAAATTAATTTTACAAGATTTTATTTGGAAACCTAGAAAAATCTAAAGATTCTTAAATAGGTACTATCTGTTAAGTATTTGTTGGATGCTCCTCTTAAAATGTTTAGAGTTGGTAGAGGGGGAAGTCAAATGAAACATACACGCGATATGATGACAACGTTTAGTCTTCTTATTTTATGATCTGATCTGTTGGATTATTTCGTACCTCTTTTCTATCACGGGATATTAAAAAGGAAGTGCTATTTAAGATATAGTTTGGTTGTTCCATCTACAAGAATATTTTGTATGATTCCGTTTTGTTTGTATGGTAGATGGGTGGTTTCTTCCTCTTCTCCTTGGTATATCTGTGCCACAAGTAGTAGCTGCAAAGACGGCTGGAATTATGAAGAATCAAGTTCAAGTTGCTCCCGTTTCTTACATTTTATTACTTATGGTATTTTTGGGTTATTTGTGCAAAGGTTATCGAATTGATAGTATTGTTGCAGTGTAAGTACAGCATTGTACCCAGTGTGATCCCATAAATAGGAAGAAATTATTTTTAGCATAACAAGTACTGCCGTGCCTGAAGGAGTATTATATTGGCAAAGGAAAAAAAACTGCCTTAAATTTTTGGAAAATAAATGCTGTCATTATATTTGGCAAAAAAAGAAAGTAAATATGTAGTAGGAATCCTAATTAAAGTAAAAAAAAAAATCTTTTTTTTTTTTTTGGCTAAACATGCATACGTTTGACGTGTCCAAGTGAAAAAATAAAATACATAGGTTTCCCTAAAGGTAGTTGTACTAGGAAACAACTAGTATATGAATTGGGTCAAGGATGTAAGAATTGGGTTATTACGACTCAAAGTCTGAATAAAAGATGAACTACTATTCATCAATCACTTGCAAGGAAAAAATTGATGTTAACAAGAAGGGGAGATATTGCTTGGCTCGTTTGGACGATTGGGGTTTTTTCATTGACCGGACGGAATGTTTTGTTTGGCACTTCAAATACCATACCAAATTCAAGCTCCCTTATTCTCATTACCACTACTACGATGAATGGACAAAAAAACTGATCAAGTGTGTTGTTTCCCCTTCAACGCATGAATATTTTCTCAACAAGGATGAATACTTATGCAACATCTCCCTCTTCTTCAATGAAGAGCCGTATTGTCTAATTTGCAGTCCTCATTATAAAAAGTGGGTAAAGGTAAGACTTTATAAAAATAGCAGGTTGGTCGACGCGGTCGCCTTCTGTAATGGTGAGAAAATATGCACTTTGTTCCAGAAAGGGAAACTAGGCATAATACAAATGATCCCTGAAATAACTACTAGTCTGTCTCCTGTCACATTCAGGGCACCAACAGATGCCACTGCTCTCTATCGACACAGACATTTGGTAACTTGGCAAGACCAATTGTTTCTAGTTCAACGAAAATTCGGATCACCTTCCGTCTTTGAGGTTTGGGAGGTCGACTTTGAAACAAATCAATTCAACAGACTATACAATTTGGACGGATTTATTATTTTTATATGTGGACGATCCTCCGCTGCAACTTTTTCATCTCTACCTCAAGAAAAAAACCATGTCTATTTTACACATAACACCACTTTATATGCCTTCCACATTGGCGATCAAAGCTTGTCAACCACTAAGCAATTTCGTGTCTTTATCCCTCACAATTCGGTTCCTCTATTCGCCAGGTAATTAATTTAGATAGTTTGTCTACCATAAATGTTTTCGAATATTGTTCATAACATTTGATTTATTTTTGACTTATTTAGGTCAGAAGGGGCCAATATTCAACATAACACTAGTACTGGAGGCGACAAGTTGAAAAAATGTCCATCCGTGCCTGTAGACAGCAACATTTGCATCCATCTTTCTCTAGACCTTCAAAGGGAAATTTCTCGTTATCTACTTTCTCAAGAAGCATACATGAGTTTCCGCTTGGTGTGTAAATTATGGAGATCCGTTGCTCCTCCATTACGTTGGAAAGTGGTTGATCATGATCATTGTTATGATCAAGACTCCATGTGGCTTCTATCTCTAAACCAAAAGGATGGTTTGTGCACCTTCTATAATCCCTTTAGAAATTTCAACTGTTATATGACCAACAATGACTTAGTAGGCTGTGAAATTCGGTATGCTAAAGATGGATGGCTTCTTGTGTCTAGGGGAAAGTCTCTCTTCTTACTTTCGCCTGGGAAACAAATAATACATCTCCCACAAAAAACAGACAACTATTTCTGCGACACTATGTCATTCTCAGCTTCTCCAACTAATTCTTCTTCTGCCTGGGTAATCTTTGGTATAGCTTTCTTAAACTTGTTTCAAGTTAGGATTTCATATTTGAGACAAGGGGATGATAAATGGACTAGCATCACAACAGACAATGAGGTGCCTTTCCTACTTTCATGTTCTAGTCCAGTCTACTTTGGTGAAGAATTTTATGTCATAGGCCAACACGGTGATGTTGGTGTATTTGGCTTCTTTAGTGACGGAAACGGAACCCCTTACTGGGTTATCCATAAACTTTCTCAACAATATTCACCTCCTATTTCTGGTTCTTGCCGTTTGTTTTTAGTTCAACAGGATCAAAATGTGCTACATTCCGTGGTTGTGACACCACAACATGATGTTCATGTTTATGAGCTAGACTTTAGACGGAATCTAATAGTCAGATTAATAAAACAAGTCAAAAATTGGCTTTTTTTCACTAGCGAAGCCTCGTCTGTTGGTGTTTGTGGCATGAACGTAAATGTGGATAATGCAGTTTTCTTCCCCACTTTCAACACTTGTAACGACTATACTTACTATTCTTTGGAAGATGTCGCTTTCAAAGTATTGAAAGACAATTGTACGGATAAAACACAACAGAAAGAGCTTTTAAATCGTGTTTGGATCCGCTGTGAACTGACAGGGAATTGATCTCTCTACTCTCTCTTATGTATTGTAGTAGTTTGTTTGTTTTTTTGTTGAAGTGAATAAATTAGTCTTAGTTAGACATGAAGGACCAATTGTACTTCAAAAGCTTATATTGCTTAGCCTTTTAAGTTTCTTTTTTTCCTGGCATGGGCTTGTGGGTTGAAATTTATAAATTTATTTCTTATTCTGTCAAATAGAATATATAGAGTTAATAAGAAGTTAGTTAAAGTTTGTCACTTTATATTTAACTTGCTTTGTTTATTTGAGATCATTATTTGAAATTTGAAACTCTCAACAAAAAGAAAAATCATAATTTGGAAACCCAAATTGTGATTTCAATTTCTTTTTTTAAATGTAAAACTTGACCCAAATACATGAAGATTCATAATGAATAGGTTGGAAGAGTAGTCTTTAGATAGTATAGATAATATTTATGCCTTGAGAATCTACAATAGGCAAGTGTTTGTAGTCCTATGGTTAGGATAATTGCCTTTTAAGCAATAGACCCGGGTTCGACTCCTGGCAGATCAATTTAGTCGGTTTATAGTTAAATGAAAAAAAAAACCAAGTAACTGACCGGATATTGTACAAATATCTTACCATCGTTGGGGGTGCTTCTCCCTTATAGTGCTTTCATTGCAGCTTCTGCAAAGGCTTGTGCAACATCAGCCTCTCTAGAGAACTAAGATCAAACACAGAGGAAAAAATAGTCAATATAGCACCATCATATTAATGTTACAAACTTACAATCATAGAAGGTAGCATTCAGTTCATACTGAACAGGATACTAAACCAGGACCCATCCATACTCAAAAAGTAGTTGAAAAAATTAGACTCCTACGATCTTATGCAGTTGATACTGTTGCGAACTGCTTAAAAACTTGTGTCCCCCCACACATTAAAGAATTAACAACTGTACAAGGTAAGAACTAAAAACTATTAACAAATGAGTTCCAGAAGAACTCATACTTGAATTAGCAAGAAGCACCAAGAGCAAACACCATTCAGAATGTTATTGATGGCATGACAAGCAAGACTTCAAAATTCCAAAATGTGTTAAGAGGCCCTATGAAAGAATATAGTGCAATTTAACTAAGCAGTACTGCTCTAAATTGTCTTACTTTTCGGACATTAAGCTCAACAAGAAAATGAATACCTCTATGTACGTTGCTATAGTAGTCTTGTTGGAACCACCCGGCTCCTTCAAGTTGCTTATAGCCTCCATTATAAGATTTTCCAATCTATAATAGTAGTAAAGCAGCAACACTTAGAGATAGTCGTCCTTCCAGCAAAAAGTAAGACCAAAAACTGGAACATAACAAACTTATTATAAGACTAGGACAACTTTTATCCATCTACCATAGTCAGAATGCTAAAAACAAAACATGAATTATTACTTGGAAATAACATGGGTAGAATGTGAAAATAATTTGAACTATAGAAGTATGAGATCACGCAGAAGACAACATTTAACTAAATCCACGAGCAGAAGCAAATGTATTTAGAACTATAGAAGTATGAGATCATGCAGAAGCCAACATTTAACTAAATCCATGAGCACAAGCAAATGTACAAGGCTACAACTTGAGTCATGCTGGAACAAGTAATGAGCAAGGTTTAACCTTATGATAGATCTTTTTGACCCACGAATCTGTGGAGAATCACTAGAAGTAGTAGCTAGCCTTGCTTCAGCCATTTCCTCATCACTTTAAGCCTTAGTGGAGATAGATAAAGACCTCTCATCCTGTTTACGGGCTTGATTCATTCTTTTGAGAGCCAACCTTGCTTTCTCTCTAGAACCACAGCCGTTTGTCATCACACTCATGTTCCTCCACTTGTCCTGAACAACAACAAAGACAAATTAACATATCATGCATAAATACATCGCTAAGAGGAAAAAAAAAGATATGTGACCTTCATCAATTCGAATGACACCAAAGCTTCCTCTCTGCAAAAGAAAACTTTATCCTAAAAGAAATGGAGAAAAGGGAAATTCTACCTTTAGATCTATAGTAGTTTGATACCTATCCTAATGGATACTATTTACTAAAACTCAAAAGAACTTTACCTTCAAATCTTACGATATCCATTTGGCCTCCCGTGAGTTTTGGTAACAATTCCAACAAAGAAACATCAGAAATAGAGCTCAGAGTCTCTCCTTTAAGGCCAAAGCTTGCTGGGAAAGCATGCATATCATCTGAATGGCAGTATTTTGATGTCGTTGTTGTAAGGCAAGCATACGAAACCATAGTTAAAATGGCGATGAGAAGGAAGCATAACAAAAGGCAGGAATGGTTTACCTTCTTTTGACTCCCCATCGCGTGTACTTGTGCACTCCCCTTGACCTTGTAATTTGCTATTTCAGATGTTAAGAAGATTCATTTTCACACTTGGCCTGAAGAGAGAAACATCAGATCGTGCGAGTAACTAATATATTTGATTGAGAACTAGCAAAGCGATGTACATGAACATCTTCTAATAAACACAAAACCAAAGTGTAAGCATCAATATTTTGTGGTGTGTACAGACTTACCACTTTTCCCAATTACAAGTAAAAAACACAAAATAATAAATAAAAGGACGTCTGTAAAAAGACACTAATGAACACAAACTGTCAAAGAGCCTATCAGTCGAGTAATGCATGCAATCCTATAGCAGTAGAGTAATGCATGCAATCCTATAGACTACAACAACCATTCAAAGTTATGAACATCCTAGTTGTCAGGCAAAATAAATTATGTACAGCAGCATCAATATAATAGAAAAGATGATGTCAGTTCAACGTTTTGCAAAAAGATTACCACATCTTTCTCCCATCAGCACCAGTCCATCTCGTGACTCCAGATCCTTCAAAAAAAAACGACGACTTCAGGTGATGAAGTAAAATAATAAAATTCAGTAGAACTTTCTGCATATCAAAATGCATTGGATTAATGTCAAAGAAACTAATACTTACCTTTGTCATCCACCTTGACATAGCAGGTCCCAATGCCTATAGCAACAGATACCTAGTGGAAAGTGGAAACCAGATTAAAGTTCAAACTAGGAGTACACAACTTATAAGAATAACAAACATCAAAAGAACAGTCCTATAAGGAAGTAAATCTCATGGATAAAAGAACTAGAGTTGTGATAAAAGAATATTCATTTGAAAAAATAATAATAATGATGCTAGAAGGGGAGTGTCATACTAAGAGGAGAAAAAATAGTATCAATTTTCATGTAAAACATATGCCCTCATCATAAGAAGTAGCAAACAAAGGAACATAAGAATTCATAGAAGAGCCTCACTGGACAATAGTAGACATGGAGAAAGAGAAGCACGTGTGCAACACAGGCCATTCTCACTGCACACAAATGGCAAACTTTAAGAAACCAGACAGTATATCCATAGGTTAGCTGGTGTAACAAAGACGGACCTTTCAATCTCAATAATTTGAAGGAGAGGATGTACAAGAGAAGAAACTCTTTCAGAGAATGCAAGACCTTCTTCGGGCTTCCAGATCATAAATGCAAACCAAAAGATCAACCAGGTCAGAGTACAACTTTAGAAGTAAAGTATGTAAATCAATACTTTTCATTTATTTGAATTGTGAGAAAACTATAAGTACTTGGAGTGCATTTGCTTCCTTCTAACTGGCTGGTTGTAAAATACATCACGAACAATGACTGCAAAAAGAAAAATCCCAAGAAATTTCCTTATTAGGAAACAACAGTCAATTCATGTATCAGGTAGGCTTATACAGAATTACCTGTTGTACCAACATTTTTTCTACAATCATCAACTCCGAGGTACAAACACTTGCCATTCTGTAAACAATGGCAATAACAAAGACCAAGTTAGTAGTTTTATACCTAACCTAATGGATACTACCAACTAAATCTCAAAAAACTGTACCTTCAAAACCTTCTGATATCCGTTTGGCCTCCCGTGAGCTTTAGTACAATGTCCAACAAAGAAATGTCAGAAATAGAGCTCAGAGCCTCTCTTTTAAAGCCAAAGCTTGCTGGGAAAGCATGCATATCGTTTGAATGGCTATATTTTGATGTCGTTGGTGTAAAGGAAGCATAAGAAACCATAGTTAATAAAGAGAAGGACGGGGCGCCAATCCTACAAGTACCATTAAGAACCAACCAGTCACCACAAGAGATTCTTGAAAAACACATTAAAATAACTTTATCAGATTAACACAATCAGTATCAATGATTCCAACAAAGGGAGTTAAATGCTGCACATAATTTCTGGCAAGTTGACTGCACATCTAACATGGAACAAAGATGAACAAGTGACACATTTTTTCTTTTTTGGGGCGATAAGTCAAACCACTCCTCTCTTAACCTACATTCAAACAAAAGATCATAATCCTTGACTATGTAAAAAGGGACGCACATTTATTTTGACATGGGCCTCAGTTTCTACATAAGAATATACTCCACCAGACAGCCACAAAGTGATGGGATAATAGATAAAGCACCCTATATCACTATCCTTTTCTTCAGTAATATCACAAAATTGCAATACAAAAGAGTAAGACATTATTTGGTGAAAGTATTAGTCCTGCAGGGGATGTTTATGCAGTGATGATAATGTAAAAACTGTTATGCGGTAAATAATAATGTAGGGATCCTAATGCGGTGAATAATAAATGAGTTATTCTTTTTTTTGATTTGCACCGGGTGTCCGAGTCTCTTTGAGCCCCGACTAATCCCGGGGGTGCACAGGCCCTCGGCAAGGAGTTTCCCGCAAGTGCACCACGGTTAATTCAGGTTTTACCCAGTCCGATGGCCCTCAGAAATTGTTTGCACCCAGTGGGTTTCGAACTTGAGACCTTGAAAGGGAGCAAACCCCAAGGCTCAAGTCAATTGCCAGCAGGCCAACCCCTGAGGGTTATTCTATGCAGGGACTATCTAATATAAAGGGAATTTTTCCTGTAAATACTCATCCGTGCATTGGTGACACCTGCTTTCTTATTCCATATTCAATCCCGCATAATTCTCGCACAAGTCATGAGGATAATTAATAATGAACAGTTAAATACTGCCAACCAGACGCTGCATAAGTTATGTTGAGCTTATTTTTCTTATGCAGATAACTGAGTGGTACATAGGTATGCAGTTATTACTTTACTTACATGACCAACAAATGTTATTCTATTTATGCTAAGATTTATATTTGCTAATGATGGAACCAAACGATCCCTAAGAGAAACAATTTTTAAAGAAAATGCATTATAAAGAATTTTATGAGAAACCAAGAACGGACATAATGGACTATGCAAAGGCCAGAATAGATCTGATCAATTATAGCAACTGGCCCACAAGCGAAATAAACTTCTTATCAACTTGTTGAAGAACTTTGGCACCCTCCACCAGGCAGTTTTATCAATGATATCAGGAACCAATGAAGCACCAACAAAATGCAAGATGCCAGAAGTGACATTGAGTATATTATTCTGATTCTTAAGACTGTTCCAGTAGCGCTCTGCATCTCATATTGGAAAGAAGAAATTCCATCATATTAACATAATAGAGAAGAAGTCACAAAACTGTCCGAGATATAGCTAAGGTACTTAACTGTAATCTCTGGACGGAAATCACTCCATTTGTCCCAGAATATAAGATACATTGAGTTTTTTGTTGGTGCAACTTCTGAAGATTTGACTAGAAGTGTCAGGCATGACAATTCTATCACAAAATCAGAACATAAGCAAGATGGAATTTGAAAGAGACTATGTGGCCTAGGACACTTAGAAAGAGACACTGTAATCTCTAGTGCTTTCATGATTTATAAGAATACAGTCTAAGATAATCTTGAAAAGTGGGTGAAAGAATGAAGCTAATTAACTGAAACATGCACTAGAAATATTAAGCTCTTATTCAGGACAGGAACTGTTAAGAGTGGGTTGGAGAATGGATTGGTGGTTTGCTCATATGGACTTAGGCAATTCACCCCTCATGAGCAAGTTTTTGGGGTTAAATCAAGCCCAAGGGTCATATCTTCATATGGTATCAGAGAAAGGTTTATCTTGCTTGGGCTCCCAGTCTACGCTCTAGTTGGGCCCTAGGCGTGAAAGGGATGTTAGAGTGGGTTTGAATCCCACATTGATGGGATAATGGACTGGTGGATTGTTAAATGGACTTGGGCAATCCTCTCCCCGTGAGCCGGCTTTTGGGGTTTGGTTAGGCCCAAGGGTAATATCTTCACAGGAACAAATGGCAGGAATGGTTTACCTTCTTTTGACTCTCCATAGCGTGTACTTGTGCACACCCCTTGAGTATGTAATTTGCTATTCCACATGTTAAAAAGTTTCATTTTCACACTTGGCCTGAAGAGAGAAACATCAGGTTGTGTAAGTTACTAACATATTTGAGATAATATCAGAAAGAGACCTAACCCTCCCAAGAAATTTGATAACATTACCTTTCATCAGAGAATACACTGTCACCACAACTTTGGGTGGAAGATTGATCACACTTATGGGACGACTGCTGTGGAAGCTCTGAGCAGATAGCTTTTGAAGAATGCTGAAGTCTTCTTACAGCTCTAGTTTCTGCACGGTGGAAATGAACATTAATTAGTTACACATATTTTCTAACATTGTTGATTATTAACACAAACAAGCACAAGGACAAATTATCTTGGCATTGGATGAAAGGGGTTGCTCTGAGTTTCTGGATTTATACTTTACACCAACTGTGCAATGAGAAAGAGATCCATCAATTCACCGACTTGAAATTTAGGTCTGACAGAGGAATCTGGACTCGGTATCAAGCTTTTCAGAAGCACTTCCCAACAGAATATTCTGTGAAGATCGAATCTCTCTCCTGACAGTGCACTCTCCAATCAGTTTCTTTGGCTGTGGGGATGGAAGTTCAAGTGTGACTTTGCAACTCTGGGCCCTACACTTCTTTTTCTTGATCTCATAATTCACAAGTATATCTGAAAAGTGGAGCAGGGAATGGGATAGCAATAGATGAGGCGGAACTTCAACAACTATATTCTTATCTAGGTTTTCCAAAAGTAGCTTAAGAGAAAAGAAAGTAACTAAACTACACTATCTCATAACACTGAAATGCTTTATAGCTTCTGATGGGTAAGTACTCTCTCTTCCACTAACCTTCCACAGTGCCCCTCCCCCCCTCAGGGAAGCAGGTGAGGGGCTGCAGCCTACAGGAAAGGGAATGTGGAGTTGCTCTCACCAACAGAGTTACTTCCAGTCCAAAGATTCATGACAGTATCCTCAATAAAGAGAAGAATGGAGCGCCAATCCTACAAGTACCATTAAGAACCAACTAGTCACCATAACAGATTCTTGAAAACACATCAAAATAGCTTTATCAGATAAACAAACTCAGTACCAATGGTTCCAACAGAAGGAGTTAAATGCTGCACATCATTTCTTGAAGTCGATTGCACATCTAACATGGAACAAGAATGAAGTGGCATGTTCTAATAGACAAACAAGAACCACACACACACATCTCTTCGTTATTTTCCTTTTTGTGGTGATTAGTCGAACCTCTCTTAACCTACATATGGTACACAAAGTAGAAATTCTGAGCTGGTGATGACCAGCATTTCTAACAAATGAGATGGCATTGAAGTCAATAGCTTCCTATCCAGTTCATAGCAAGATATCTACATAATCAGACAATGTAATCAGTTGAAACAAAATTCAGTAATCCAGAAAAGTGCAACAGTTCTCAAGTTTGATCTAGTCCATGGTGTGCAGTCGAAAACTAAGAGGAACCAAACGCAGTCCTCAGCTTACATGTGCTCCCACTTCCTCCACTCATCAAAGAAAAATAAGAAAATTTTGTCACTGCCTCGGAGCCTATTCTAGTTATTCCTTAATCACCTCATTCTAATTACTAATTTCTAGTATTTATTAAAACTGTTAGAACTTAAGAGTAGTCTTAAAGTTTTCAAATGAAGCTAGTTCCTCTAAGATGTGGATTGTATCTCATATAGGTTAGACCTACTGGCAGTTAGTCTAAGCCAATACCGGCAACTAGCATTACTGCTCTCCAGCAACCCACCCTACCTACCAAAGACCAGCACCCTGTACTATCGGTGCCCTTCTCTCTTCAGTATCACATCTCTCTCTCATGGTCATTCCAGAGAGAACATACCTCTTTTAGGCAACTGATCAAGAAGACCTCTTTCCAATGATAGTTCTAGCGATGTCATGCCTCTCTACGACAACCATTCTAACAGAGTCACACCTCTTTCCTATAACTTTCTGACAGAGGCGTGACTCTTTTCAGATGATCGTCTGGTCATGTCGCGCCCCTTTCCGAAGAGCATTCCCACAACATCGTGCCTCTTGTTGGTGATTATTCCTGTAGAGAAGTGGTCATTTTTCTGACAGCAATATTAACCCTCCTGGTAAGCTTCCAACTACTGGAACTTCTCTAGCCAGATCATCCAGTGATATTCAGTTTCTTATCTTTTCGCTATAAGAAAACTAAGGCGGCTTCTTAACTTTGTGCTTTTCTGGTGTCCAATATTAGATAATGCTAGGTGTTAGTACAAAGTTAGGTTCAACTTTAATGAATGTTGCAAAATTTAGTGCAATGGATTCTGGTAAATGGCAATTTTATTAAGTTTCACAGAGTGGTTGTGTAATGAAAATCTAATTAAAGATAGTAACTTACCAGGTAAATGATCTTGAAGCTTGTGAATGAATGTTGTACATCCAACCCCAGTTTTGAATTTGGTCAGCACAGTTGTGTAGTAATTGGTAACCAATTTCAGGCACGACCTGCAAAAGCATAGTCAAAGACTTAAAATCAATGTTACCTATTATAAAGATCCCCACAAAACTCAAATTCAATGTTGCCTATTCATCAAAATCAATATATCAATTCCTGCTCGAAATCAAGATAGGTTGATGTCCTCATTTGTCCAGATAGGAATTGATAATTCAACAAGTTACAGACTCCAAGTACATGCGGGATTTCACTGGGTATGTAGTTGCTGTTGTTACAGACTCCAAGTCCAAGTTGAAATAACACGTTAATGAGCTTTTAGACAATCATTACCTTCTCACGCAGTTCTTCCAAAAGGATTCACTCATCTGCAGAATGCTGTAGAACATTACAATTAGTGTAATATTCAATATAGATAAATGCTAGAATCAAACAAAAGATCATAATCCTTGACTATGTAGTGCAGATAACTGAGTGCTACATAGTTATGAGGATATTGCTTTTTCTAACGTGGCCAACAAATGATATACTATTTATTCGGAAGTTTATGCTGAATTATATTTGCTAATGAGTCCAACCAAACGATCCCTAAGAGAAACAATTGTTTAAAACAAATGCATTATAAGGAATTCATGAGAAACCAGGAATGGCCATAATGGAATATACAGAGGCCAGAATAGACCTAATCAATTATAGAAAGTGTGGGCACACCACTAACGGAATAAACTTCTTATCAACCATTGGAGAACTTTGGCACCCTCCAGACAGTTTTTATCAATGCTGACAGGAACCAATGAATCACCAACAAAATACAAGATGCCAGAAGTGACATTGAGTATAGTATCTCATACTGGAAAGGGTAAAAGTCCACTTCTTCAGATTCTCTGTTCCAGTTCTGCTCTGCATCTCATACTGGAAAGGGTAAAAGTTCATCATCTTAACAAGATAGAGAAGAAGTTGCAAAAACATCCGAGATATAGCTAAGGTACTCAACTGTAATCTCTGGACGGATGTCCCTCCATTTTGTCCCAGAATATAAGAAACTTTGAGTTTTTGTCGGTCCAAATTCTGAAAATTTGATTTTAAAATGTCAGGGGGCATGACAATGCTATTACAAGATCAAAACATAAGCTAAATGGAATTTGGAAAAGACTGTGTGGCCTAGCAGACATAGAAAGAGACATTGTAATCTCTATGGCTTTCATGATTATAAGACTGCAGTCTAAGATAATCTTGAAAAGTGGGTGAAAGAAATGAAGCTAATTAACTGAAACATGAACTGGAAAAGTTCAGCTCTTATTCAGGTCAGGAACAAATTGCAGGAATGGTTTACGTTCATTTGACTCCCCATCGCGTGTACTTGTGCACTCCCCTTGAGCTTGTAATTTGTTATTCCAGATGTCATCAAGTTTCATTTTCACACTTGGCCTGAAGAGAGAAACATCAGGTCATGTGAGTTACTAACATATTTGATTGAGATAATATCAGAAAGAGACCTAACATTCCCGAGAAATTTGAGAACATTACCTTTCATCAGAGAATACACCATCATCGCAACTTGGGATGGAAGATTGATTATATTGATGGTATGACTGCTGTGGAAGCTCAGAGCACATAGCTTCTGAAAATGATGCAGTCTTCTTACAGCTCTAGTTTCTGCACGACGGACAAGAACATTAATTAGTTGCACACATTTTCTCTCATCATTGATTATTAACACAAACAAGCACTCAAGGAAAAATTACCTGGCATGAGTGGCACATCATGAACAGTCTATTCTTATTTCCCGCTTCCTTTCTGGAAGACTCACTCGTGGCAAAGAACTTCATCTTGCCTTGGTAAAATGGAGAGCAATGACTTATTCTACTCATCGTCTTCCTTATAAGTTCATCTATTTTACCTCCATTTTCAGCATCAATCCATTTATGTGAGTCCCCATCCACTCTAGAGGAGAGCATAGCTCGTGCCTCGTGGTATCAAATAATTCTTAAGATTCTTTTCACCGTGAGAATGCACAAGTATTAAATCATCTCCATCATAATAGAATGCAGAAGGACCTGAACCATAAACACCCATAGATAAACCCCCCTATAGTGGCCATCTCTTCTCTAGAAAGAGCATAAAAATTGAGATCAAATTTTGCAGTCCTCTTTTTTTCAAATTATTTATGGCAGGGACCAAGAGATTATGTTCCGTGTCTCCAAAATTATATGTCACAACAACTTCACGTTTAACAGGAAATCATCCTCTGTGGGTAAAGCATTACTTGAAACATTATTCTATCTAGGTTTTTCAAAAGTAGCTTAACAGAAAAGAAAGTGATAAAACTACATGATGGCATAACACTTGAATGATTTGCACCATCTGATGCATAAGTAACTCTCTCTTCCAATAACCAACCCTCCACAATTTGTTTCCCCCCACCCCCACCCCCCTCTTCTTTTAGGGAGGCAGGTGGGGGGCTACATGTACAAATAATATCAAATACAATAAATCCTAAGTAATGTTGCATAAAAATGTCGAGACAATTGCTCTCACCGACAGAATCACTTCCAAGTACAGATATTCGCGACAGTATCCTCAATAAAGAGAAGGACGAGGCACCAATGCTACAAGTACTTTTAAGAACCAACTAGTCACCACAAAAGATTCTTGAAAAACACATCAAAATAGCTTTATCAGATTAACACAATCTGTATCAATGGTGCCAACAAAGGGAATTAAATGCTGCACATCATTTCTGGCAAGTTGATTGCACATCTAACATGGAACAAAAATGAACAAGTAACATGTTCTAATAGACAAACAAGAACCACACCAACCCCACCCACCCACCCTTTTTTTTTCTTTGTGGTGATAAATCAAACAAGTGGAAACTCTGAGCTAGTGATGAGCAGCATTTCTGACAAATAGCATGGCATTGAAGTCAATAACTTTCTTGCCATTTCATAGAAAAATGCCTACATAGTCAGACAATGTAATCAGTTGAAAGAAAATTCAATAATCCTAAAAAGTGCAACAGTTCTCAAGTTTGATCTAGTCCATGGTCTACAGTAGAAAACGAAGAGGAACCAAACGCAGTCCTCTGATTACATGTGCTCCCACTTCCTCCAGTCATCAAAGAAAAGAAAAGAAAAAATTATGATTACATGTACCAACATCTTGTCTACAATCATCAATTCCAAGGTACAAACACTTGCCGTCCGGTAAACAATGGCAAGAACAAAGACCAGGTTAGTAGTTTTATGCCTATCCTAATGGATACTACCAACTAAATCTCAAAAGAACTTTACCTTCAAAACCTTAGGATATCTATTTGGCTTCCCGTGAGTATTAGTAACAATTTCCAACAAAGAAACGTAAGAAAGAGAACTCGGAGCCTCTCCTTTGAAGCCATAGCTTGCTAGGAAAGCATGCATATCATCTAAATGGCTGTATTTTGATGTTGCTGGTGTAAAGGAAACATATGACACCATAGTTAGAATGGCCAGACAAAAAGGAAACAGAAAAAAAGATGAAAGAAACAGGCACATGTACTGTCTCCATAAGCACCAATATGTTTGTTCCAGCTCAACTTCAGCTAGAACATCTTAAATAATCAGAACATCTTTAGATACAATAGCGACTTTCTTGATTTTTTCTTAAATTAAGAATTTCAATGTAGTAACTTCAACAAGACAACAAGTTCTTGGTTTTTTCTTAAATCAAGAATTCCAATTGTAGTAACTTAAAGAAAACCAAGAATTCCAATGTAGTAACTCCAACAAGTTCTTGATTTTGATTATTTTTTTAAATTAAGAATTCTAACAAGTTGCCAAATTTTCCTTGAAGAATAACAAGATAAGAGTGGCGAAATCTTATGAAAGAGCAGAAGCGTTCATAAGAGTTTTGATCGGAATCGTCACCGGGAAAGTTAAGAGCAGCGCCGGTAGCGTAAAAGATAGGCGGGTCGGGTCGGCTATGATGGTGAAATTTTCCCTTTCTATAATGCACAGGTGGGGTGTCTATTTATAGATATTAATAATTAAATACACGGAAAATAGAATGAAATTGAGTCGATTGTTTTTTTAGAGCGTGTTTGGAAAGATAAAACTTATTTATTTTAATTGAATTTGGTGCAGGGGGGTTAATAATTATTTGATTAGCAAGTAATTGGTATTGATATGAGTTGATTACCCTCTTTCAATTCTTAGAGCGATAAATTGTTGATAATTACATAGTGTAATGGTAATCTGATTATTTTGTAATTTCTACATTTTATTTTTATTTTAGTTTTAATTTTATTGTTTTAAATTCCTTTAAATTTTTATTTCTAGTATTTTCTTTAAAAAATTAAAATTCATATTTCATTTTTTTTCTCATTCTCAACCTTTATTTCATATGATTCCGTATAATTTTTTATATTATCTGATTTTTTAATTTTATGTTTGTTTTTTCACTAGCATAATTTTGTTAGTTTTCTCATTTCTAAATTAAAGTATGATTATTGTTGAATAAGGTTATAGACTTATATTTTTTTAATTCTTTTATATCATATTTATGTGTGTTATATTGAAATATGAAATAAGAGTATTGTATTTGTACAAAAAAAATAATATTGTATTAAATTTTTTGTTTAGACATTAAAACTTGTGTCATATTTTATATTTAATTTGTCATAGAAATATTGATTTGATATTTCTCATTGCAAGTCATTTATTGTATAGTTAGACATGATACATTATCTTTTTGTCAAAATATTTTAATAATTTTATGATATTGTATTAAATATACAATTCATAATATTCATAGAAATCTTATACTTTTAATTTCTATGATTAGTTTAATTAAAATATACTAATTTAAAAATTATTTATTAATTTATTTTATAATATTATTTAAGAACATATGTTTATTAATTAATTAATACATTTTAAAAAACGATAGATATCTTAAATTTTGATTTTATAGCATTTATAAAGGTCTTTATTTATCTATCTAATACAAATTTTAAATTTTAGATGGTTAATTTTAATTTTTTAAAATTTAATACAGCTTTATGAATTACATAGTCAATGTCAGATAGTTAAGTTTTCTTCTTAGACAATGTATCTTTTATCTATATTGCCTTTTCATTTTTATTCTCTGTGTTCATAAACATATATAGTTGAGGCCAAAGCTTGTTGGAAAAGCATGCATAACATTCGAATTGCAGTATTTTGATGTGGTTGGTGTAAAATAAGCATAAAAACTATAGTTACAATGGTCAGATGAAAAGGTAAAATATTAGAAGATGAAAAAAAAAAATAGACGTATCTCCATAAACTGAGCTAATAAATACTTAAGCACCAATATGTATAATTCAACTCAACTTTAGATGGAATAAATAATCAAAACATACATATAGTAATGATTAACAAAAACAAAATATTTGTAATTAGGATCAGATATTATATGTATACAAATACAAATATTTTGCTACATTCTAAATTAAAATACTACAGTATTATATTTTGAAATACAGCAAAATCTTGCAATTCTTTTGCCAAATGATTGACATTAGCTGATATTTCTCTCCATTCATCTTTATTTGACCAATATCCTACGCATTAGACATTAGCTGATACTTCTCTCCATTCATCTTTATTTGACTTAACATATCCATTTAAAAAATAATCGTAGATAGTTTATCATATTATCTCTATTAGTTGATATTTAGTATTAATTTTTGAAAAATAATATTTAATATTAAACATAAAATATAAAAAAAATAACTCTCTTTTCTTAAAATGTCAAATGACAACATAAAAATAAAAATTTATTTTAAAAATATATGATATTGCTTTTGAAAAAAAAACAATTTATATTTAATTAATTAATTTGAAAAGTGTATTCGATAAACAATTTGTATTTAACTAAGAATCAAATTACAAAAAAAATAAAGTACCTATATATTTTTAATAATATTAAAATTAATGTCTATTATTTATCTTTTTAACTAAAATGTACATATTCCAAAGATCAAATTACAATTTCTTTAAATAAAAAATTTAAAATCCAAATATCACTATTAAGGTAATTTATAAGTAGCTCTTGCTCCTTTCAATTTATATTAAGCTAGCGTTTGCTAATAGATTTCCAAATATTTTTGGCAAATATTATTTAGGTGAAATTTCACCATGTATTTGGACATAATATTTGAAAAACATATTTCACTTTTTAGAAAAATATGATTTATATCCATAAGTTTTAAAAACTATCAAAACTAATCATAAGTTTGTATTAAGTCAATTGAATCTTCGTTGCGATAAATAACAAGTAGTGTCCACGACACTGGAGCCATGTGATAGTTTGGAGTGAGTGCAACAAGCGTCTCATTTCATACATCGTGAAGTAGACAAAGCACATGACTTTGTTACCGTGAGTCAATTGTTCATCATTTTCATCAACGACCTTATCATCATATTCACTGAATATTTCATCAATACTTTCATGTTCACGTAAAAAATTATGTAATACAACGCAAATAATTACTATAGAGGCATTTTTGTAAAAAATAAAAATTTGGCATAAAATTTCCCAAATAATGAAATTTGACCCAAATACTAAAAAAAACTAATATTTGAGAATTTGCCAAAAAATGACAAATTTTATGGACAAATACTATTTGTCCAACTTTTCCCCAAATATTACTTGAGAAATCTATGAACAACAACCAGGTCCTAAGATTGATTGTCAGGTTGATTTAATATAGTCATGTTATTTATACAAGAAAATAATCAAACTATTTATTCTTGATATAAAATTACTCAAACTTAAACTAATTGTTGCGAGTCATTTTGATGATTTTTTAATAAAATTTATTTTGAAATATATACCTAAGGAAGGCAAGATCGTGTAAATTTAATGAATGAATATAATTTTAATTTTGACCACATCCAGTACTAAAGTCACTACCAATCAATTTATCCAGATTCCAGAGAAATTGCTGTGTTCAGTTATCAAATAGTGCAGTTAAAAAGAAACAATCTCAAAGAGAATTGTATTCAGAAAAAATAAAAGTATGTATGGATAGTTACTAGTAAACGCCTCCTTGAAAAAGTAGAAAAGGCATTATCAGCGAAACCTCCAATTGATTTAGGCCTCCCATGAATCAAATAAGCACTTTGAATTAACTCAGCTTATTTGGGATTATGAAGGCCATTAACACACTTGACAACCAAAACAAAACACATTCTAAAGATTGAAGAAAAAATTAAGAGAAGAAGATGAAACCCTAGCAGGCTGGTGGCGACGAGTACTATTAATCTTGTGCGGCGAGGCATTATATAGTGATCAATGTGAAGCGTAACCCTATGATTATTACTCTTTTGACCCCTTAAATTTGTTCAAATTCACTTATTGCTCCCATTGTTTCAACTATTTCACTATTGATATACTTTTCTATATTAAGTTATTAACCTATGTAAATAAAAAAGGCAAAATCTTTGATAAGAGCTTTTTGAAATCTAGCGACCTTAACTTTTATCGGATACTCAAACTGAACATGGCAAAACTTTTTCCGACTACAAAATGGGTCATAGTTTAACTACAAGTAAAACCTTTATAAATTAATAATCTCTCTAAAATAATATTTTTCTCCGGTTTTGATTTGGACCAATGGAAAAAATCATCAATTTCGATAAGATAATAAGATAATTTATTTTCAGAAGACCCCTATATAAATATATGATCCTATTAATATCATAAATTAATAATCCTTTAAAAGACAAATATATTTAAAACAATTTAGTGAAATATGATTCTATTGTGTTCTGTTTTTTCTTAAAATTTAAATCTAGTTGAAACTCATCTCTAACTTTTCTTATTGCATCCAAAAGCTCTGGTGTTGTCTTTTCAAACTGCACCATAAAATTGTGAAAAGTTCTAGATGCGATAAGTGTTTCCTTACACGTAACTGGTTCCAAAGGTATAATATCATCTTCAATTTCATCATCAACATTGCTTTTTTCGATGGTATCCACAATTTCTTCTAAGCTCTGAACCTCTGAACATGTATCACTTTCACCCGGATAATCCAACACGTTATTGACATCCATTTTACTGTGGTAACCGAGATCATTAATCAATGACCTCAAGTTCATGAATGACGTTTTCACAAGTAGGTTCATTCAAATTCTCTGAGATGAACGAATTTTACAGTGTCGAAAACAACTTGCTATTGTCTGTTGCAGAACATTTGTTGTCCAAACAGGGATTGCAAAATTGATAGCATCCAAAACATTAAACTTTGTTGGATCGGTTTGTCCCACTTCATAGTCTTCTAATATTCTACGATAAAATATGTTCGATAATACATCTTGAAAGCTCTTATTATCCCTGCATCACAAGGTTGAAATTAGTAAGATGCAATGCTTTTGATATATTCGTTGTACTTTATGTATAATATTTTGTTATGTGAAATCAATAAATATGATACATAAATTAGTAAGATACAATGATTTTGATATATTCAAAATTAACCTTCATTAAATCTCAATCCATTATTTAAATTAATAAATATTAATTTATCGATTAAATAATATCTCTATAAAATAATAAAATTTCATGGTCCCACCTATATTAATTTATAGAGGCTTTACTGTAATAAACTAAAGATACAATAGCATTTAGAATCGATAAAGCTTTTGATCTTCCTACAAATTCTAATTAACAATTTACTTATTATAATAACTCCTTTGAGTTCAAAATATAAATGACTACTCAAACCTAACGTTTTTTTGGCACATGTAGACTAATATCTCAGAGTTATCTAACTAAGAAGCACATATCACACTCATCTTAACATTGGTTTGTAACTTTGCATTAACATGTCGATAGTAACAAAAAAAAATCATATTCTAATAATGGATAAAATTTGGGCGAATTAGGTAGGGCATACTTCTCTAATATCTTATACTTGAAGTGGAAGACAATCAGGGCATTACACTTGAGTTGTGTAGGAGGAGAAATACGAAAATATTTTTTTGTTTGATATCCCAAGACCATTTTCAAAACTTAAAAACAAAGAAAGTAAACTTGAATAGATAGAGTATGTTGTTATAATCAGATCTGGCAAATGACAGTTTAGATTGAATTTGGACGAATCAAGATGAATTGATGAGATATTAAATAAGTGCACTATTGATTCGTTCAATAGTTACTTTGACAGAAATAGGTTAAAATATAAGAAGATACTCGATGTATAGAAGCAATAAGTGAGAATTTACTTTAGACAAAAATAATAGCAAAAAAGATGTCAAATAGGTTAAAATATAAGAAGATACTCGATGTATAGAAGGAATAAGTGAGAATTTACTTTAGTAAAAATTAATAGGAAAAAATAATTGCGTCTGCCGGGAGTCGAACCCGGGTCTATTGCTTGGAAGGCAATTATCCTAACCGTTGGACTACAAACGCTTGATGAATCCTTTTTCTCAACCATTTTACAAGTCTCTTGTAGTCGTTTTGATGGTATTATCATCTTGTTTAAAATCAAAATCAAATTATCTTTTATCAATTAATAAAATGAAAAACCATTTCAAACCAAACCAAGAAATTTCATTTTTTTTACTTATTTGATACTACTATTTTTCAGTTAATCCAATAATTTAATATGTCATTTTGAGTGCAATCAATTTTATCACATCAACAAACATATTGTATAATTCAACCGGTTTAAATTTGAACTGATTAGACAAATGACTAGATCACCTCAACAAACAAAACGTCAAAGTTTATTAAAATAAACTATTAAGATCAACCACACAAAGTTGATCAACATAAATTCTTACCATAAAAGTAAAATAATAAAACAAAGCACATGACTATAGGAACCACACACTTAAATTCAAATTTCAAACAACAACAAATTAAACCAAACATTAATTCACCACTCACTACTCATTAAAGGGGTACGTGTCAGTACTAATCTTCAAATCCCAAATTCGCTTCTAGTTTAATTAAGCGGAGCAATTAGGTGAATCAGGTTTGCATTTAGATGGAAGATCCATAGCAAGAGTGGAATTAATCTTGAAACTAGACAACATTGGACTATTCTTGAAAGTGCAAAGGCAAGGCAAATCTGCTTTGGTTAAAGCAGCACAACATTTATCAGATGGTGGCAATGGTTTAGGCCCAGATACTGCTGACTTACATGTCATTAAATCATTTATTGTTAATCCACAGAAGGAATCTGCACTGGCCATTTCAATTCCAATGGTTGCAACTATAAGCAATGTTGCAAAAAATATGACCAAGTTTTGCTTTGCTTCCATATTGATCGATCGATCGATTTCAAAAAAATTGTCTTTTTTTTTTGGTGGTGTGGTCTTTGTGAAAGTGGTTAAGGGCTTATATAGAGGATTATTATGAAGACCTTGGCTAGTTGATGATATTTATTTTATGTTGGTTAAGGACATTTCACGTGCAGTTCCAAATGATATGTTGTAGGATAATATAATGATTTTAGTACGTACCAGATAAGAACGTACAATTACATATTCGGATTAAGGGTGTACTCGGTACGGAAGGAAAATAAATGAATTTTTTATTTATATTTCTATGTTAGATACGTGAGTAAAAAATATTTCAGTATAATTTAGATAAATAATATGAAAGTTAGGGATTGGGTGGTGGGAGTGAGGGCTAGGGGGTGGAGTGGAGATGATCAGGTGTGTTGGACGATGGGAATGACACAATCAATGTGGAATACGTGGAACTTGTTTTTCATATTTCCATTATGAAAGTCATTTTCTTCATTTTTAAGAAACTTTTTTTCTATCGATTTTTTTTTAAAAAAAATTTGGACAATCAAATATGAGAAAAAATAAGATAAAGAACTTCTGAACTTTATTTAGACACATACATAAGTAGAGGTTGAGCTAGAAGGTAGAAACAAAGTCGTCTCAACAAGTTTGGGGCCTAAAGTCAAACGTTATAGAGAGTCCTTATATTTTAAGTTCTGTGAGAAAAATCCATAGTTGAGTGACTTTGACGTTATAGAGTGACTTTCTGTGAAAATAAGTACTCCTAGTTGAGTCACCATATGATATATTAACTCTACAATTAACTAAATATTATTTCATTTCTCAATTATTACGACCTCCACATTAAATAAAGTAATTATATATTCTATCCAAAAAAATCCTTATATATATATATATATAAAACCTTTAGGAAAAATGAGGGTCCTAGTGATTGCTTTAGTGACCTTATGTCCGAGACAATCCTGAATAGAAGGATTCATCTAATCTCTTTTATTGAAAAATTACACTATACAATTGAATTAAACATCCCGTGAGTAGAGTTTTAAAAGTAATAAGTGGATTAAAAGGAATAAGTTTGGGAGAATCTTGACACCGACTAAAAAACAGGCAAATTCTAAGGTTGCAAAATTGGCTTCACATATCACGGACTTCATATCCCTAATTATACTATTTACAATTATAAACTTTTTAAAAGAGAATAGAAACAAATTTGTAGTGCTTTTAGTCTGTCTAATCAATTATTCTTTAGTGGTCACGAGAGTCATAAATTTTAATGTATATATAGTAATATATATGATACTTCTATACCATTGAAGTACATCGAAACCAGTTATTGATGCCCATGGTACTGTTGTGTTGTTCACATATAATTTAAATTAATAACCACTTTTCTGGCCTTATATTTAGAACTTAGCAACTTAATGAAAATAAGAAAAGTTCGAAAGTAGTCACCTCCTCTGAAGATTAAATTCATAAATCAAAACTAATATTAAGACCTTTAAATATAACATGAAGCGAGAAAATGGTTATCAAGATTTGATTTTAAAAACCTTATACAACTAATTAACGAGGGGCAAGTATATCATCTATTAGCTCATGAACCTACCTAAATGAAAATCTAAATTGGGAAGTAAGACTTGGTAAATAGTGATCACAAAAAATGAGAAAATTAGTGATATCTGTTTGTTACCAATAGAATGATCATAAATATCTCATAAAATTAGTTGAGATATCCGTACATCATAATTATATAAATATATTTAGCCTAAGCAAGTCCCTTAAATTTAAATGGAATTGATTTGTACCATCATTACTACAAGACTTTTTACTCTTTGTTTCATCATTTCAATGGGGATCACAATTCTAAATGACATTCAGTCATTCAAATCATAATTTCACTTGAAGGTAAAGCTTCATTTATATTCCTAATTAACTATAAAGTTTTAAAATAATAAACCAAATTATAAAACAAACTCCGGTGTAAATTAGGTAATAAAATTAGCTCATAAAAATATAATCATTTCAACTCTATCCGTACTATAGTTGATTTTAGCTCAACTTTTGAGTAAATCAATAACATGTCGATATATTAACCCAACTCATTTTAACTCACTCAAGAAAAAAATTCATAGGAAACGTGAAGAAAACAAAATCAAAGTCTGTCGTCTTCTGAACTTCTCTTTTACTTTCTTTTTATCGATAATGTACAAAATAGTTTGGAGTAGAACACTCATATATCATAGATGAACAAAATGTAAGAAATTAAAATTATTACGAAATAGCTGCAAATGAGCATATTAAATATAGCAAAATATAAGATGTAAACATATGCATGGCAAAACAATATTAATCAATATATGTATTAATTTTGACACTTCATTTAATTAAAAGTTAAATATGCTTAGTCTAATAATATAAGGATCAAATTAATAATGGAGTATGACAACAACTCAAGCACTAAGATTGCTCCTTATTTTTGCTTTGAGATTCAATTGAGTTGAATTAATTCGGTATAAGACCTTTTAAAGAAAAAATGTTTCTACCCATATACTTTAAAGTTTATGAATTGCTATAACGATTTCAAGTTAATACAATTAATAATTTAATATGGATAAGTTATTGTATTCATTTGACCCTGGTCTACCATTGTTTTTATCGAAACTTCTTCACTATTAAAAAATGATTCCGAATTTTTTGATTAGAAATGAAAAATCTTATCCATCTCACGGTAATCGTGGGAGAGGCAAAAAGGTTAGGAAGCACGTGAGGGATAACAAATAAACTTAACTAAAAGATTGGTTTTCTCTATTTGACGTAGCGTACAATCCTTTTGAATCCTACTTAAGGCGGCAACCACTCAATTGCTGACACGCGTCCACTAGGATGACGTGTCAACCCCCGAAATGCCTGGGTTCGATAAAAATTCCCAACAGCTCCGAAAATAACGCATCCTGCGTATGTTAAAGCACGCGGTGCTGTTTTGTAACATAACGGTTTATTCTTCTTTTTTATCCACTTTTTTTTTTTTAAAGCTACCTTGAATTCAATGAAATTACGAATATACCATTGTCAACTCTAGTTGTGTTAAATATTTTAACAAAAAATGTGTTAAATAAATAACTTTTTCTTTGTCCTTTAAAAAAATAAGATTGACTGATGAGTACAAAATGTGAGCTTATGGTGGGAAAGGGTGGTCTCGATCTTGTTTGGTGGTAGCACTCTCGATAATTGTAAACTCAATAAAGATTTCGTGCTCAAGTTGAAAGTCACTTTCTTTATTCATTGAGTCAAGTAATTAATTTGCTATTCGGTGTTTGATTGTCCTACATTTTCTTGATTTTACATTGATTAATATTTATTGATATGCTTCAATATTTTGTTCATTTGAATTCAGTATTTTCAACGAAGAGTATAGATTTTGTATGTGAAAATTTGACTAAAATTTTATGTTAAAGTAGAATGTGTTCAATTAGAATTTTAAGAGGCAAATTTGTCTATTCTCGTATGTATTATTGTAAATAAACTAGATTCATATATCGAAAACAAGTAAATTATTCTCCAATGTGGTACCTAAAATTTGATAGTAAAGAAAATATTGTCACAATAAAAAGGTGTATTTGTAGAAATTTTCGCAATAATTGCATTAATGTCATCGCGTAGTAATAGAAACTTCTTTTATCTTTTGACATCAAATACTCCATACGTTTAATTTTCATTTGCATAGTTATTAATTGTGGAAACTATGATGCATTAATTTAACCTTTCTACCTAAACATTACGTACACAAATTTCAAAACCATTGCATTCAAACATCATAGTTGACACTTGTAACAATGACAACTGTTATCTAAACAACAAAAGAAGAACCAAAAAGATAAAAAGGGGAATAAAGAAAGCAACAACTAATGACTTTCATGGCAAGTCACTTGTCTTAGCTTGGTCTTTCACATAACTAATTTTGCCTATAAATATTGCTGCTTCCCATCATCATTTTTACCCAAAAAAACTACAGCTATAGTATAACAAGCTACTTCTCAAGTACGATTGAAGATTTAACACACTTTGAGATCATCGGTAAGTTAACTTCTCCATTAATTCCTTACTACATTGTGAATTAACGAATGATTTATCATCGATAAGCAACGCAAAACGAATGGTAAATGATTTGCTGCTCCTTGAAAAACATCATATATAGCAATTAGCTAATCGAGACCTAACAAAAATGTAGCATTACTCAGCGCTGTGAAGGTTTCTATACCATTTTCTTTAATTTTACTAAGGAAAATGGTGCCTTTAAAACAAATTTGTGACAATAAAATGTGTTGATGAGTTTGTCCCACCTATCAACATTCCCCTGATCATGAACTAATATTTGGGATTTGAGTTAGATTTAATAATAATGTTGATTCTTATCGTAGTATATTACAGTTAGACTCATTCCATTTTTTGATAAATGTGTTGTTGGGTTCCCTTCTTATGTTGTCTTAGCTCCACTAGTGGCAAATTAAACGTGGACAATGTGCGCAAGTGGTACAAATTATTTCACATCAGTTGTGAAAGGATGAAGATTTCTTTATATAATCTTGAACAATTTCTCGGACTTTTTGTTCTATAATTTAGATGAACACAAATGAATAAGCTTAAATATACCATTAGAAGACCATAAATTAATCTCATTCCTAAAAATATACCATTAGAGATTATATTTTTTTTTAAAACTCGTCATAAAATCTTGGTCCCTAATAAATCTTTTTCCTATTGTGAAAGCAAGTGTAGAGATAAAGGGGTGAGACTTGAGAGTGGGATGATTAGATCATCAGTCTAGAATAAGTTTAAACTTATTTCTTTTAAAAAAAGTATTTTTCAAAATATTTCGACCAGCCATATACCAAAACACACCCTAAAAGACACTAATTTGCATCTATACAGAGAATGGTCAGATTAATTAATATTGATGAAACCATATAGTCCGAATTTGACTTTTTCTCAGCCCAATTGGCTATGGAATCCATTGCTTTGTGTTCAAGGTTGACTCTTGAGTACATCAACTACCCTCTAGATTATTAAACCAGTCAGTCAATATGCAGGAAAACGTGCTGCCCATCCATGTAA